TATTCAGAAAGCGTGCCTCTGTCCTCCTAAAACTTGGCTGCGTAGACACTCACACACCCATTCTATGGATAAGGAGCCACAGCCCAGCAGTGGATACGGCCGTGAGCAGCAGGATCTGGGCTCCCATACAGACCTGTCTCTCTTCCCCAGTGGTCTGTTGCTCAGCTCCCCCATTTTTCATGGGTTTAATGCTTCCTCTTCGTGCCTGATCAGCAGCACCGAGCGGTTTCTGCCGGGCACAGCCCTGTTCTCCCAGAACACGGAGGTGAGGCTGACAGTGGTCACTGACGTCACCAGCCACGTCTGTCTGTCCTGTAGACCAGTGTAGGTCACAGAAGGTGCTGGGCAAGGCAGCTTGGGTGAACACGGGGAAGGCAAGGGGATGACCACAGCCTGCCCACTGAGCTCCGCAGCCTCTGAGGTCTTCTGGACGGAGGTGGCTGCGACCTCTTCGAATTAGTGATTCCGCCCTAGGTCAAGCTCACTCCAGGCCTGGAAGACCTTGCAGAAGTGCATCCCATACATATGGTATAATTATCTTGGTCCTCGATACAGAGGAAAATTCATGGAGCAGTAACTGAAACAGAACTCCTCGTTGTGTTTCGTCTGAGGAACCGGTTGTCCTGCGGGAAAGAGAAACTCTACGGATGATTTCCTCTGGCAGAGCCCAGAAGGGGGCTGTGTTGAAGGAAGAAGCTAGGGGAAGAGTCAGGATAGAAAGTCCCAGGAGCTCCGTGTGGTCTCCCAGAGACCGCTCCCCCTGGTCCCTGGCCCCCCCACTGCTTTCTGTAGCTGCCCCTCCTCCCTGGAGATTAGGATGTGTTCCCACGGCCTGGGCTGTGCATCCCTCTCCCTCCTCCTCCCCTGCCAGGGTCCCGGCGTCTGAGCCCTGTGACCCAGACTCTGCCGGGCCAGCCAGCCAGGCAGTAAAAGGAGATTGATGCCCTCTCCTCCTAGGAGAATCCATCACTTCTTGGCATGCAGGTCAGATGGCTTCTCCAGAGGCAGCTCTGAGCAGCCCCGTGTGGGCTAAAAATAAGCACAAAAAGAGGCCCAAGTAGACAAGAGGATGTCAGAAATGGGAATGGCTCACTCCAGCCGTCTTCCAGGGCCCAAGCAGCACCCTTTCCTCCCTCCCTGGTCCCCTCCCCCACTCCTCCTCTGGGGCCTCTGGAAAGGAAGCTCCTTCCTTCTCCCTTGGGCTATAGAGTCCCAGGAGGAGTGGGGTAAGAGAAGTCAGACAAGGCTGGAAGAAGGGGAAGATGAAGGGATGACTTTCTGTGGACCGAATGGTCTTAGTGGCCACAAATTAGAGGAGGACAGAAGAAAGGCCATCCTGAGTACTGGAAGGAACTCGAGTGCGGGAGCCATGTGAAAGACAGAAGCCTTCCTTGGCCATGCTCTGTGAATGTTGGAGAGTTAGCCCTGCCTCCCTTTTCTCATCTGTGAAAGGGGCACAATCACCCTCGGCTCTCGTGGTTATCATCAGAAGTGAATGTTGACCACGGGGTAGGACCGGCCACCGATGAACTTCCCTTTTCCCTGCTTCTCCCTGCTTAGGTTCAGGGATAAGCTGCTGCTCAGATGATGTTTTGGGGTCTACAGTCTTGTTGGTACACGGGGCTGTCCATACAGAAGTGACTCGCCTACACGTTTGGCACACACCCAGCCTCTCTCCCCATTTGCCGTGCGGAGCTCCTCATCCCCACGACTGGCGGGGTGTTCTCTCCTGGGGGAGGATTTATGCTCGAATGGAATCTATATTTATTTTCCATCCCTCCTGCTGCCCTTTCTAGATCTCGCTCCCCCTTTTGGAGACTAGGCTCAGGTATCGCTCTCAAAATACTTCTCCCCGAAGACAACTAGAGTGAGCCAGGCCTGTTTTATTCTGAGCCCCTGGGTGTTCCCGAGTCTCTGAAAAAGATCCCTTAGCAAATCTGGGGGAAGCTTCTGCTCCGTGCTTGCGGAGAGCAGCAGCGTTCCCAGGAACGTGGTCACCTGTGCCCCCACTAATGCATTCAAGGCCCATAGCCATTACCCCTCTCCTATGGCTGGGGTTCTGCTGCCGCCAGGCTCTCGAGTCCTGGGGTACGGAGGGAGGGTTGAGAAATGGCTCCCTGTTTGCTGCGTCCACTTGACTTGTCTGAACCTTTCCGGGCTTGTGATTCATGCTGCTGAGGGAAGGAGGGGAGCTGGTGGGCTCTAAGACACGGGCCAGCCCAGGCAGCTGAACAGAGCCCACTCTCCATGGAATTCCTCCATCCCGCTGTCCTCATTCTGCACTCGTGGCAGCTGAGAGTGAGAAGAGCTCAGGGGGCTGATGAGGTCGCTCAGCCCAGAGTTGGACTAAGGGATCCAGGAATTTATATCCTGTTGCTTTGCCATTGTGGGGATGTGTCTAGGACACAAGAAGGCGAGAGAGGCATGACCTTCATTCATCGCATGGCTGAGCCGTTGAGTCCCTGAGAGGGACCTTGACTTAGCCTTGGCCATGCAGCTAGGTGGGGGAGAGGGGCCCCTGGTCAGTCAAGGATTGTAGGCCTTCAGGTAGTGAGAAATGAATAAAACATCTGCGGGTGTGGGACTGTCCATTAAGAGCTGGCTTATCCCTCCCCTGCGAATGCCATCCTGTTCCAGTGGGTCTCGAAGTGGGGTGCCCAGATCAGCACGGTCAGTATCACGTGGGAACCTGCTAGAAAAGCAAGTTCTCAGGCTCCAGCCTGGACCTAGTGAATGGGAAACTCTGAGAGAAAGGGCCCAGCAGTGCGTTTGAACGAGCCTCGTAGAAGATTCTGTTGCAGCTCAAGTGTGAGAACAACAGTGCCCTCTTACAGTGCCGAGGGAGGCTGGTGTTGGGGTGCATCTGGGACCAAAGGGGCCTTGTCCCCTTGTGGTTTGGCTACTCTGGTGTGGCCCGATGCTCTGGATTCCGGTCCCAACTCAGCCACCAGGTGCGGACTCCTGACTTGGCCCTTGCTTGCTTCCCTTTCTTGTAAAATAATATCCATAACGATGCAAAGACCAAAACACGCAGCGTGTTAGAGGACTCGAGGAATTACAAACCTTCACGTAACCAGCGCACGTAGCAGGTGAGTAGAACTTGCGTGTCCTCCCACAGCCATTTTACAGACAAGGGAACCGAGTCCTAAGATGTTTTGTGAGGAGCCTGGACGGTGCGGAGGGTCCAGGTCTGGTCCGGGTGCCCCCGACTTCTCACTCCTCCCCAGTCTCGGCACGTTCAGAGGTGTGGACTTGGCCTCTCACGGCTGCCTTCTCGGCCCGTCTGCGCTCCGCGGCCACACCAGGACGCTCACCTTGTAGGACCCCGTGCGTCATCGCTGGTCACCTGGGAACGATTAGGCAGCAAAGAGCAGACGGCCTCCCCTGAGTGGCCCTGACCTCCCATTTTCTCTCAGCGGGAGACTCTCTGGCCTTCCCCTTCAAGGCCAACAAATCCCATTCCTCAGAGGCTAAGAAATAGTGACACGGGGTGTAAAGAAGAAAACCGATTTTTAATTCGCTTGTTGTGCAGACTGGGGCAGAGCCCCGCTGTGTACTCACATGGCTCGTGCCTCCGGGAGCCTATAGGTCCGTCTTGCTGGGGAGGAGAGAAAAATGGTCTGCAAACGCTTCCTCCCACAGATCCTCCCCAGCAGGTCATCTGGAACACGGTGGGGAGACCGTGAACTTTGACAGAAAAAAACAAACAAACAAAAAGATTTGGAGTCTATTCTGGAAGAAATTCCCAAGCCAACCCAAACACCAATCTGCACCCATCTGTTCCTGTCTCCTGTCTCCTCACTCACGGGGATGGTAGGCTTGCCACTCCCCCGTCTTCAGTTCTCAGTTTTTGACAAGGTCCTTTGAGGCAGGTTCCCCCCCAACCCCTCACCCCGCTGTCACGGCTCTTCCTAACGTCCCCACAGGTGGGCAGTGGGTGCCTGCCTGTTGTGCAGTCATGGGAAGATCAGCGATCGGTCTCCATCCAGGCGTGCTCCTGTCATCACCAGCCCATGGCTCATACTAGCCCTCTGTAGTCTTCTTTCCTGGGGTCCCATCCTTGCTTTCTCCCGGCAGACGGACTTTAACAGGCTTGCTAAGCCAGCTGAGGCCGTGGCAACCCTTCTCTGCCTAGACCGTGTTTCCAGGGTGCTCTCTGGTCTTGGCTTTCACGATCTCATTGGTTTTTCAGAAGAGCGGGATTTGTCAAGTAGAGGCTTCCCCCAGATAATTTTAGCTCCCACGTCACAGTCTCCACCACAAAGCAGACACCTTGCTAGGACTGATACAGCTGCTGCTATGTAACGAGAGCCCGTGTGTGTCTGCAGGTGTGTGTGCGTCTTTCGATTGTCCCAGGCACTGGGCCGAAGCCTTCAAGCAGGCTTTCTCATTTAATCTTCATAACAATTCAGCAAGAAAGGCATGGCTGGATGTTAATCCCATTTTACAGATGAGGACAATGAGGCTCTGGGATGCAATCACTTTCCCAAGCTCAAAAAAACCAACAAGGAAGTGGCGGGGCCTGGGATTCAAACCACACTATTGGAGGTGCAGTCCGTGGGCCTGGGACACTCGGGTGTCCCCACAGAGCTTGTTAGACCTGCAGACTCTCAGACCTCCCAAGTCAGAACCCGCAGGATGCCCAGGGCTTTCCTGCGCCAGTGGCTGCTTAGACTGCCCTATATGTGCACGCTGTCTAGCAACCATAGCTGATTGTTCCAGAATCCTGTGCGTGAACCCTGTGGACTCTGTTTTCCAGCAGAGGCCGCTGTAATGTAGACTGGTTAGGAGTGGGTTGGGGCAGGGCTGAGACTGATTGGGTTCTGGGTCAGACTCGCCACCCCCCCATGCCCACACAAGGCCAGTTGTCAGGAGTGAGTTGGGTCCATGGCCAGGTCTGCCTCTCCATGCTGTGGGCACAGAAGCGGCAACCCCCCTGTGGTGAGGACAGGTGCCTGGAACTGATGGGCCGCTCTCTCGTCTTCTGTCCCCTCCTACAGACGTGCAGCACATTAAGAGAAGGGACATCGTGCTGAAGCGGGAACTGGGCGAGGGAGCCTTTGGGAAGGTCTTCCTTGCCGAGTGCTACAACCTCAGCCCGACCAAGGACAAGATGCTCGTGGCTGTGAAGGTACATCCCTGAGGTCTGCGGGCTGCCAGGAAGGAGGGAGGTGGCAGGGGGCCGGGGAGCCAGCAGCAGAGGCTTGCTCCGTTCCGGGTGTGAAAGGGTTCTGGTCGTTATCAGACGCAATCGGGCCCTTGCTCCGAGGTCAGTGAGGTGTCCTCTGGCTTTGGAAGGCTGGAGCTGCGTCCCTGAGCAGCCTGAGAATAAACTGGCTCAGCGCGCCTCCACAGACACGGGATGGTCCGGTGAGTGAGGATGTCTTTAAACGGCTTGGGCCAGGGAAGTGGAAAGATTTCTAATTTTGTCCCCCAAAGAGTCTGCACTTCCCTCAGACTTTTAATTTATAGGGTGACACGAATCCACTGGGCATTCCAGCATTCCTCGGGGGACTGGTAAATGAAATGGACATTTTTGTGCATTGAGCAGGAAATAGAATAATGGCCCCAAACCTTGGGAAATGTTTCTCGCTGAGCAGTCAGGCATTAAGGGACAGTACCCAGATTGGATGACACAGAAAAATGTGTTTCTGTTTTCATCCTTTTAAGAGGGTTTTCTTCTCTCCTTGAGTCTGGGAACCTGGAGGAGGTGAGTGCCCTGGGATTTTGCACCATTTGCTGCCCAGGAGATCCACCCAGCCTCTGGAGAAGACAATCATCTCCCCTGGAGAAGGGCCTGGTGTTTTCTGCTTTTCTCGTCCTCTTCAGATTTGACTCCTTTGTGCAACTCCCTTCCTCTTGAGTTCGCTCTCATATTGGTGCAGGTAGTTGTGGACTTTCAGAGTACACATCCAAGTATAACCCAAAGTTAGGTTTTCCCAAAATTGTGGTTTTAAGTTGCTTGGCAATATTTTTTTTTGCAATGGGGGAGACAGAGCAGACCTCACAGCCTCTGTTCTAAAGATGTTTGCCGTTGGCTTGGGGGACAAGAGATTACTTAGGGAGGGAGGAGAGCGGGACAAGAGCATAATTTGGACATATGGGTCCTGTAAACCTGGCATTCAAATCACATGATTCTGGGGCACCTGGGTGGCTCAGTGGGTTAAGCCTCTGCCTTAGGCTCAGGTCATGATCTCAGGGTCCAGGGATCGAGCCCTGCATCGGGCTCTCTGCTCAGCAGGGAGCCTGCTTCCCCCTCTCTCTCTGCCTGCCTCTCTGCCTACTTGTGATCTCTCTTTCTGTCAGATAAATAAATAATACTAAAAAAAAAAGTCACATGATTCGTATTTTTAAATTGTTGATGCCCTTTTGACATAATCATCTGACAGAGAATACTCTTGTTCACAAGATCTCAGAGAGTCTCCTCCGATAGCCAGATAGCTGTTGGGAGAATGAGAGAGGGGTCCAGTTAACTCATCATCAGAAAAATGCATATTGAACCATAATGAGATACCAGTGAATGCTGAGCAGAATGGCTGAACGGTGGTGATCATAGCAAGTGCTGACAAAAATAGGGCACGGCTGCATGTCCCTCCTGTGCCGGTGGGAAGATGAAGTGGTATACACATTCTGAAAACCAGTTTGGTTTTCTAGAACATCAAACTGTGTGACCTAGCACTTCTACTTCTAGACCTATATCCACTAGGTATTTGTCTTTCTTTCTATCATCTATCCATCCATCCATCCATCCAACCATCCACCTACCCACCCACCCACCTTTATTTCCTTCTATTTTCCTCCCTCCTTCCCTCCCTCCCATCCTTCCTTCCTTCCTTTCTATTACCTAGCTAGCTAGCTAGCTATCTAGAGATATGTCTAATAATGTTCAGAAAGCATTATTTACAACAGCCAAAAACTGGAAACAGCCCCAAGGGTCCATCGGTAGCCACATGGATAAATAAAGGTGGTATGCTCATACAATAAGAAACTATTCAACTAAGAAAATGAGTGATCTGTAGCTATATGTAATAATAAATAATCTCAAAAACAGCATGGTGAATGAAAAAGGACAGATCTAGAAATATATGTATACATATATATCTCTCTCATCACCATCATATATATGATGTTATATATAATATATTATAATATATAATATAATATAATTATATTGACTATAATTATATTATAATTATTAATATATTAATTAATATATAGTTATAATTATATAAGATTATATATATGATCCCACTTATTTCAGGTTTAAAAAACAGGTAAAACTGAACTCTAGTGGTTAGGGATTTATACTTAGGTAGTAAAAACTGTTTTCCAAAAGCAAGCCCGTGACCTCTAGAAGTCAATGTAGTGGTTACCTTTGGGGGGAGAGAGAGAATATTGGAAGAGTGGGGCATGGGAGGTTGACAGTGTTTTATTGTCTCCTTACACTGAGGATATACTAATGTTAGTTTGTAATAGTTCAGTGTGCTGTAAAAGATTTTTCTTTCAATGATTGATCATGTTCTTAAAAATATGCTTAATTTACTCATCCCATAAATATTTATTGAGCACTTATGACGTGCCTGGCACTGAGTGAGGCACTGGGGGTGGAGGAGACAAGGGGACACATAGGCCCATGTAGCTCCCATTTCAGGATCCTAGAACATGAGAGCCCAGAAGGGATAGGTGAGGAGGAGGTGTTCAGGATGATAACAACAGCATCTAATGGGAAGCACCAATTATGGCCCCACTGTCAGTAATGTGTGTGGGTTAATATTTTGCCCTCTCAAGCCACCCTAAGTGTCAGGCACCATCACTATCCCCATTTTACAGAAGCGGACACTGAGGCACAGAAAGAAAGGTCAGGGAATTTGCCCAAGGTCCCGCAGTGAATCAGTGATGGGAGCACCTAAGATCCAGGCAGCCCCTCTCCTTCACAGAGGAGGGGAGGAGCCCCTCGTCACTGCCTTTCCCGGTTCCCTCTGTCTCACCAGGCTGTGATCTGGGTGAATCTCAGCATCGCTTTGAGTCATGAATTCTTCTTGTGGTTTTATCTAGTGTAGGGTTTGTCCTGTCTGTGGAGGCTTTTGTTTTAACTTCCATGAACCGTATAATCTACTTCCAAGCTATCTAATTAGTTCATGGTTTTTTGGTTATCTTAATTTTATTTCTCCCTGTTTTGGCTGCATACCATCTTGTTGGTTTTTTGGTTTTTGTTTTGCTTTGTTTTTAGTAATTATTTCTTTACTGTCTTTGAACAATTTTACTTATTTTAACATCTCTATCAGCCTGTTCCTATAGAATTAACTTTATTCATGTTGTGGTTGTTGATAATTTGAAACATTTGGATCTAACCTTCTCTTTCTTCCAGTATGTCTGAACTGCAACTCTGGAGTTCCTTTTCATTTGGAGAGTTGTTTTGTTTTTGTTTTGGGTGTTCATGATTTCTAGTTTCAGTTAGTTTACCTTGGAACAGATACTGAAAATATTTGTGAGACAATCTGAGTGCAGAATTTCAGATTTTTAGTATTTTCCCAATTTCTTAAAAAATGGGTTTTTCTCTTAACACTTTTTAACCACTGACCTTTAGCAGGTCTTTCCAGAGTCTTTATCTGCATTGGGCTCCCTGCTTGGTGGGAAGCCTTCTTCTCCCTCTCCCACTCCCCCTGCTTGTGTTCCCTCTCTTGCTGTGTCTCTCTCTGTCAAATAAATAAAATCCTTAAAAAAAATTAAAAAATAAAGGCTTCACCTTAAGTTCCATAAAAATAAGCAACTTGGGGTACCTGGGTGGCTCAGTCATTAAGCGTCTGCCGTTGGCTTAGGTCATGATCTCAGGTTTCTGAAATCCAGTCCCGTGTGGGGCTCCCGTCTCAGTAGGGAGTCTGCTTCTCCCTCTCCCTCTGCTGCTCCCTCTGCTTGTGCTCTCTTGCTCCCTCTGTCACATTAAAAAAAAAATTCTTTTTTTTAAATATGTTTTTTGGGGTTTTTTTGAGGGAGAAAACGCAAGTGAGTACAGATGATGGGGGAGGGGCAGAGGGAGAGGGACAGAGAGAATCTTTTTTTTTTAAAATATTTTATTTATTTATTTGACAGAGATCACAAGTAGGCGGAGAGGCAGAAAGAGAGAGAGAGAGAGAGGGAAGCAGGCTCTTGGCTGAGCAGAGAGCCCGATGCGGGACTCAATCCCAGGACCCTGAGATCATGACCTGAGCCGAAGGCAGCGGCTTAACCCACTGAGCCACCCAGGCGCCTGACAGAGAGAATCTTAAGCAAACTCCTCACTGAGCACAGAGTCCAAGTTAGGGTTTGACTTCATGACCCCAAGATCATGACCTGAGCTGAAATCAAGAATCAGACTCTTAACTGAGTGAGCTACCAAGACCGTCCCCAAAATTACTCAGATCTTTAAAAAAAAAAAAAAGAAAGAAAGAAAGAAAACCAGCCAACTCTTTGTACTCATATTTCATTGGTTTCTGTGATGTTTCATTACATTAAGCAATGACATTAACAGATGGATCATAAATGATTTTGGGAAACAATCACAGCTGACCCTTGGCAAGCTCCCCTCTGGGACAAAGATATCTGTCTGGTTATCCAACTAGCAGTGAATATTCAAGGCATAATGGGTTTCAGTCAGGGTGTTCCTGAGAGGTAACAGATAGTACCAATTAATTTGGCCAGTCATGTGGATATAACTTAGTGGAGAGGTTTTTTCTGGCCGAAAGAACCCATGTGCAAAGGGCCTGAGGCAGGTAAAAGTTTGGTGGGTACCAAGGACAGAAAGACCAATGAGACCAAAGTGTAGTGAGTGAGGGAGAGGAAGGGCACGGAAGAAAGAAGGTAGAGAGAGATGGGGAGACCTGACATTTAGAGCCCATGACTGTGTTAAGGGGTTTGGACTTTATCCTAAAATCAATGAGAAACCAATGGCCAGTTGCATGCCAGGAAGCCAGATGAGAGAAGGGCACCTGTGCTTGTGATAACTTATCCAGCTTCCTCTCTCATAAGATCATTTGTGAGTGTCAACAAAGAGAAGTGACAGTGGGTTTTGAGAGAAAAGGAGAGAGATGATTTTTATACTTAAAAAGTGTAGATTGACGTGTGTGTATGTGTGTGTGTGTGTGTGTGTGTGTGTGTTTGAATATATAAAAGTTTGAACATTTAGGAATGTGTGTCTCTCTGCATATATTAAATGAGTTTCAGTATACTAATGAAATCTGAAACCAAACACTTTGAAACTGGTTTTTTTTTTTTTTTTTCTTTGAGAGAGAGAGAGAGAGAGAGAGAGAGAGGAAGCAGGGGTGGGGCAGAGGGGGAGGGAGAGAGAGAACCTTATGCAGGCTCATGCTCACGGTGAAGTCCATTGAGGGGCTTGATCTCACGACCCTGAGATCATGACCTGAGCTGAAATCAGGAGTCGGTGCTGAGCCACCCAGGCGCCCCAAGAAATTCAAATGTTCTTGCCATCTGGACTGCTTCCCTTCTATCTAACCAAATGGACCCATGGAAAACCAGGGCTGGGGTGGGCATGAGATATGATCCACATGGAGGGGAAGATCAAAGCACAATTGTCCTCAAACTCTGGGGGAAAAGAAAGGAGATGAGGCACAGGGTAAATTCCAGACCTCTGATCTATGGATACTGCTCAGAGGACCGAGGGGAGCCTCCTTGGTTTCAGAGACCCTCTGGCGAGACCTGGCTCCCTACAATGACAGCTGGCAGCCATGTTGAGCCCCGGTTCTGCCCCTGGTGTGCTCCTGGTGCCCCCGACTGGCGATCCACTTTGAAGTTTCCCAGCCCCGAAGAAGGGGTTGAGTGTGGATGCCACGGAGAAGGGCGGGAGAGCCACTGAGCTGATTTTCCTCCTCATTAGTCTCCTCCTATCATCTCTGTCCCAGTTGCATCAGTCCCTGGGAATTGGGGCCACCTGCAGCCCTGGCCCCCTGATGCCACACTGACCCTTTGCCAATTACATGGAAACCTCAAGTTGGACCCGGGAGCTGGAAAACCCAGGGTGAAGGCAGAGAGAGGGCTGGCAGTGGACAAGGGCTGTGGAGAGACTGGGGGCCAGCTGTTGCTTTGTGCCCCGTCTCCCAAATGAGAAACCCCTATCTGCCTGGCAGTGTGGAGTGCCAGGCTTGGGGACACTGCCTGGCACTGCCCGAGAACTGAGAACAAAATCCCATGACTGCCATCAGCGTCCAGACGGTGCGAGAGAGAATGATTTACAGAGATGGAGAGAGGCCATTTGGCTGGCCCCAAATTTGATCTACTTTTCCCTCCCATAAATCCAGCATTCCCATAAATCTTAGTAGTGTTCCATCCCACCCATGCTGGGTTCCTCTTCCCCATCCCCCCTTATTCTTCATGGAAAAGTAAATCACAGGCAGTCATCTTCTACCCACGGCCCAGGCCACACGGCTCAGGAGTTGGGTCACGGAGAGGACCCCTCTCACCATGACTGTGCCTTCTTCCATGCATAGCAAGAAGCCTTGGCAAATATCATTGCTCTGGCTAGACGTGGACCCACAGTGGCGTGCTCCTTTTTTAGAAGCTTCCCTGAGAAGGCAGCCAGAGCTGATGTGCGGAACCCATGAGATCAGAGCCGCAAAATCAGCCACGGGCTGGACTGCCCACCGCCTTTCTGGTCTTAGTCAGCCCTACCTGCTCAGCATCCTCGTTGGGCCCGGCCCCTCTGCCAGCAGCAGTGTGTCCTGCCTGGTGGCCCTGTCTTCTGCCCTTTCACATCTGTGCCCCCCATTCCCTATGGGGACAAGCCTAGTGGCCGATTCATCTGGTAAATTAATTCAAGCCGATATGCTGGCCGGGAAAGTGTCCCCAGGCTCCAGATCCAAGCTGTGGCTCCTTGCATGGTCTTTGGCAAGTCAGTCCCCCATTCTGGACCTCGGCTTCCTCACCTGTGAAGTGGGAAAGCTGCATTAGATAAATCCCAACATTTCTTTCAACAGTAGAAACATTTCATCAAACACATTTTCGGTGAAAGCTCCAGAGTTTGAGAAGAGTGACAAGTGGTGCTGGTCGAAGGTGGAGTGGATTTGATTTCTGGCTAAGAGACCATGGCCCTAGAGGCATTGGCACGGACCCTGGGGGTCCCAGAGATGGCTGAGGTCCGGTTTAATGGTACGCTTCTGTCATTTGTGATGTGTGAATGCGTGCTGCCTCCCAGATGGGGCTGGGCCTCAGTTTCTCCAGCTCCGGAAGTGAGCAGGTGGAAGGAAGCTGGTGATATTTAAGGTCCTTTTCATGCTCAAAGGGCATCATCTGTAATGTGTGCTGGTGACTGATGGAGGTCTGATGGGCCTTACCAGATAGGATTTTTGCCAATGCACAACCCCGCAGGCAAGGCAGCCCTGTGGATTCCGGTTAATGGGCTTGGCCAAGGTGACCGAAAGACCCCTGGCTGGCCTTGGCCTTTCAGAAGTAACATGATCTACAGGGAACGTCGGTCTGCCTCAATCACCAAAAAGACCAAATGTTTGGCAGAAAGGATGCAAACCAATCCCATGCCTGTCTAGATGTTCACGAATCTGAAAATAGCGTGCAAACTTCACACTCCCTCCCTCATGGCCTGGTGTTGTGTCTGGTGAGGGGACGAAACTCTGTTGGTAGGAGCAAGTGGCTGTTTGGCCCCGTTTGCCGTCTGAGCTCGCAGGGAAGGGAGGGAAGCCTGAATGTGTGCGCACCCCTGCCCAGACTCCTCCTGCAGGAAGAGAGCCTCCCCCCACCGCCATTACTGCTCATCCTCCTTGTGGCCAGCCCAGCTGCATCCCTGTGGCTCAGAGGGGCTCTGAACCTTCTACTTCGGTCTCACTGTCCCCTTCTGCTGCTCGAGCACCCGCACTCACACCTGACACCCCTCCTGACTTGTGCTCTTCTATTTGTCTTCCTGGACCCCAGTCTGAGGTCTTCCATTCCCCCTGGGCTCTCCCACCCCACAGGGGCTATGCTGTGGCGTTTTAGTGACCGTGAGATGACCACCTGCCCATCCTGCCCTGGGACTTTGCAAGACTTGACCCCGTCCTGGTTCTGGGCGGATCCTGAAGCTGCTGCTGGTTCACTGCCATTCCCACAGCTGCAGTCACCACCCCCCCCCCCCCCCCCCCCCAATCCTAGTGCCTCCTTCAGTTTCCCACTAGGAGGACACAGATGCCTTCTAGAAGCCAGCATGTTGATGTTTCTCTGCAAACATACACTCCTTCACAATCTAAAATCAGGGAATAGAAAAGGCAAGGAGGCTGTATTATGCCTGGTTTCTGGTAGGCTCTGGGCATAGGCTAATTTACAAAGTTAAACCAATGGGATGGCAGTTTTTCTACTGTTAGTTTTAGCTGCGGGACCATTTCTTCAAGAAGAGCTTAGGGGAAGGGGCCTTGGTCAGGCCTTCCACATGCACAGCCTCCTGCTCCCTCCACTATGCACGCAAACTCTCCGGGAGCAAACGGCTCTGAGATGACCATGTACGGAGATCACTGACCAGTGGATGGGAGGTGCGGTCAGGAAGTCGGCTTCTGTTTCTGCAAAGATGAACGACTGAGGAAGGAAGGAATCGGGCCTGGCTGTTGTGACGTCACCTCATGGCCTTTAAACCCTGATCACAATCTGACTGGTTGGGGACCAACAGTCTTTATCATGGGCAAGTTTCTTCCCAGGAGGGGAGCAGACAGACCCTTGCCTTCGGGTTGCTAAAACCCATGTCCTGCATTGTTTCCAGGCCCTGAAGGATCCCACCCTGGCTGCCCGGAAGGATTTCCAGAGGGAGGCTGAACTGCTCACCAACCTGCAGCACGAACACATTGTCAAGTTCTACGGGGTGTGTGGTGATGGGGACCCGCTCATCATGGTCTTTGAGTACATGAAGCATGGAGACCTGAACAAGTTCCTTAGGTAAGCAAGGACTGCTGCCCCCACCCCTAACCCCACAGCCAGTGCCCCCTGAACCCCTACAGTTTCCCTGGAGCCAGAAGTCACACGGACCCTCTGAACACTAAGTCTAGGGATTAGAAATGAGAAGCAACCTTTCCATCTTTCCTATCAGTTCCCGAGCAACGAGCTTCTGCTGGCCTTTGTCACTGATTTCTAGGGGGAAATACTAAGGATGCTATGACAAGGGAGTATTTTCTTCCTGACCACAAGGTGGACAGACCATAAGAGCAGGGTCTGGAAGAGTCTAAGGAGGGAGCCCAGAGGGCCTGGCACCCTGTAACTCAACTCCGAGACTCTAGAGCCCCCTTTTCTCTTGGCGATCTGAATGGTGGTCTCTCTTGGTGCCTTATGTTTCTAAGTGTTGCAAAATGGAGCTAAGGTCTGCTGGAAACCTTTGTGCTGGAGACTTTTCTTAGGATGAATAAGGAAGTACACGTTTTCAAGTTCATCAGAAGACAGAGATGGTTGAGAAAGAAGAACAGATTTTCTTCGGATAAATTTATAACCATGCTGTCCACTGCTGTAGCTACCTATGGATATTTGAATTTAAATGTACATGACTTAAATCAAATTTAAAAATTCAGTTCCTTGGTCACACTAGCCGCATTTCAAGTACTCAGTAGTCCCCTGGGGCTAGTGGCTACAATATTGGGCAGTGCGGCGTAGAATATTTCCATCAATAAAAAGTTCAATTGGATAGCACTGTTCTAGAAAGATTAGATATGTTGTAAGGGGGCTTCCCCAAACCTGGCTCAAGGTCAGCCTAGGTTTCGAGATGCTCTTGATGGAGCTAGTAAGAGACTGAAACCTCAGCTAGAAGGTTCTGGATGGAGTGGCAGGGCAGGGGGAAGACAGCCTTCCCCAGGGAAGATAGCTTCTCACCACTAGAGCAGAGTTCACACTTTCTGCCTCCTGCATCTGCCACTTCCAAGTAGTGCCCAGATGTGGAGGGGGTGGCTGTGTGTGAGGTGTGTGGAGTTCAGGTCCTGGAAAGCAGATGGATCAATCAGGACCTTGACACTTAGGGTTCCTTTGATATCCATGCATCCCATCACTGATAATGACATCTTCAGAGCTCCCGTGGAGGCAATGGAACATGCTAGCCCATTGGCCAAAACCTGGGGAGCATCTCCTTCAAGTGAGACATTGACTCGAATGCCGTGGTTTTGAGGGGGCCTAGAAAGGGCTGGTGGCAGATAATGAACTCTTCTTATGAGCTGGGTTTCCAAAAATGGCCCCTGAGGAATGGAAAATATCCGTAGGATGTTTTGAACCCCCTGAACTTGGGTTTTCACAATGAAATTTATTCCTTTCTTGGAGAATTCAGTCCTTCTCATCAGACAGACTTGGGTTCACGTCCTGAATTTGTCACGTCTCAGTGATGTAACCTGGAGCAAGTTATTAAACCGTAATTCTCTTCTCTAGAAAACAAGACTAATAATAACTGCTCCACAGGTTTCCTACTATGAGTACTAAGTGATTATATTTGTCTAATACCTAAATGACTTTTCTATGTAGCTGGGTGTTCAGTTGATGATAGCTACTATTAAATTATTACAATTAGTATTTTATCAGGACTGTGAACCAGGGACAGTTACTAATACAGGCAATGCCCTTTCTCAGTATTCAAGATCTTTGTGCTGTGTTTGCTTCCCCCTGGGACAGTCCGAGGGATGTGCTCCATTTCCCAAGAATCCCACACCATAGATCAGCAGTGCCTTTAGCCCCAAGTGCCACAGACAGGCCTGCAGAGAGCTCTGGGTGCCACTGTCATGCTCAATATAAGGGAAGATGGAGGAGGAGAGTAGAGAAGCTCGTTGGTGGCTTTTAGGGACAGGTGGTAGTGTCCTCTCCTGGTTGACCCGAGCCCGGGCTTTCCTGCTGATGCTCCTTCCTTGTGGGCAGACGCGGTAGCTCTCCTTTGGAGGATGAAGTAGTCAGAACCCAGAGGAGACAATAAAATGAATGTGTTCATATTTAACGACTCCTTTCAGTGGAAATTGGAGAAGCAGTAAAACAGGCCGAGGCCTCGCTGTACACCAGGGCTCCTTGGTCCACAACTTCATAAATAAGGGCTCTGGGTGTGGTTATGGCTCATTGGGCTTTCTGGAGAAAAGAGTGAATACTAAAAGTGACCGATATGACAAGGCAAAGCGTTAGGATAACAAATCTGGGGCCTTGATTTGGGATGGAGGGGAAACTGGGGCTTCACAAGGCCTTGGCTTCCCAGATCCGAAGGGTCTCTCCATCGGGCCCTGCTACTAACAAAAGTTATCCAGTCCTAAGCAGTGTGGTGGGCAGGGTAGGAATGTGAACTCAAGGCTCCTGCTACTTACAGTGCGGACTGCCCCCCCCCCCCACAGGTGCCAGCATCAGCACCTGGGAATTTGTCAGAAATGCAAATGATCGAGCTCACGCAGCCAATCAGAATCAGGGGGCGGGGCCAAGGAATCTGTTCAGCCCAGTTGCTGATGCTCCTTAGATTTTAATGCTTTCTAGAGCCACAGGTTTGGTTTCAGTTGGCCTCCGGATTACCCATTGGGCCATTGCAGCACTCCTGTGACTTTGGCCAGGTGATCTGATCATTTTATGCCTCCGTTTCTTTAACTCAAAATTGGAGTGGGGGAATTAAGTGAATTAATAGATTGGAGATCTTGGGGGCGCTTGGGTGGCTCAGTGGGTTAAAGCCTCTGCCTTCGGCTCAGGTCATGATCCCAGGGTCCTGGGATCGAGCCCTACATGGGCCTCTCTGCTCAGCGGGGAGCCTGCTTCTCTTCCTCTCTCTCTGCCTGCCTCTCTGCCTACTTGTGATCTCTGTCTGTCAAATAAATAAGTAAAATCTAAAAAAAATAAAGATTGGAGATCTTTAGAGCAGGGCTTGGAACAGTAGGAACTCCGGAAGAGTTAATTGTTTTATTAACGATTCTATAGTGGATATCTAGAGCTGGGGAAACTGCTTCAGAGCCTTAAGATATTTAAAAGAGTGGGTTTGTTTCCTGGTGCATTAGACTATATCTGCATCATTTTAGTTGGGAATCTGGTTGTGGTGTTGTGCCCATAGGCACCCTCACATAATGTAATGTTGGATAGATAGAAATAGGCAATAAGTTGGCTAAGAGAGATTTTATGCATTTCTGTGATGTACTCCAGGGAGCAGGGAATCAAGAAGGCTGTTCCCCTTGATCTCCTGAATTCCCCCTATCCCTTGTCTTCTCTCCCACCCTTCACAGGGCCCATGGGCCAGATGCTATGATCCTTGTGGATGGGCAGCCACGCCAGGCGAAAGGTGAGCTGGGGCTCTCCCAAATGCTCCACATCGCCAGTCAGATCGCCTCAGGCATGGTGTACCTGGCCTCCCAGCACTTCGTACACCGGGACCTGGCCACCAGGAACTGCCTGGTTGGAGCCAATCTGCTGGTGAAGATCGGGGACTTCGGCATGTCCAGAGATGTCTACAGCACTGATTACTACAGGGTAAGGTGGCTTTTCCAGCTGCAGGACTCAGCAGCAGAGCTAACACCTTGCTCACATGTCTTTGTCATTGTCCATTAACCCTGTCACTCCAGAGAACACACATATGCACCCATGCCCAGACATACACGTGATGGTTATCCTTTGGCCACTCCTACATCTTGACATACCTGTTTATTATTCTCTCGATAGCTCATGCCTCCTTTCCTCTTGGACATTCAGCTTGCCAGTATTCTTACATTGCAAGGGCATATGCATTTTGTTCTTACATCAATACTCATTCTTCCTGCAAACAAACTCATACATACATGCATATGCCCAAACACACAAATAGTCAAGCTCAACTTGGTGCTATGTTTTAACACCTTCCAACTCAGTCCCTGATCCAGCCCTGCCCACAACACATTTTGTTCTCTCAAATCATCTGGTGACCGTGTAGGCTTATCTTGTCTTCAAAGGTAGAGCTTGATGAGAAGCCAGAACTCACAGTAAAGTAACAAAAATCATTAATGTCCCGCTGAGCAGAATCACCTGAATGATTTAGGAAAGGTGAAACAAGAAAGCATGTTCTTGTTGCCAACTTTGGAGAGAGTTGGAGGTTGGCCTTAGAAAAAGCTTTCTGATTGTGATAGGAGGCATCACATTCAATTTTACTTCTATACAGTGGCCCACTTTACATTAAGACGTGTTTTACTTTGCTCCCAGGATTGTTTGTTCCCTTAGTCTTTGGCAGACCCGTTCCAGTGGATTATTGAGTGGTTGACAGTGTTATTATTGCCAGGGAAAAGACAAGTGGGCATGAGTGTTGTTTGCTGCAAAAGAGGAAAATATGGGAGCAGCTAAAAATACAGAGATGACATTACCTTTGCAAACTGATTGGAAGGCACATGCCTCAAGAAATATGTAATATTTACCTCGGGGACATTGAATGGGTGAGGAGTTTGGGTAGGTGGTATAAGAAGAGGGTGGAGCAGAGTTCTGGAGGTCAAGAAGCATGGAAGTCATTGGTTTTGTCTTCTTCATAGGGAATGAATGATCATATTGTGAGTCAAAGAGCCCAGATACCATCGTCCTGTTGGCTTAAGCATGGTGGACTAAGAGGCTGGGAGTTTGGGGTTAGCATGTGCAGATCTCTTCTGTCTGGATGCTCCTGATGGCATTGCCTAAACAACGTTGCCCAGACATTAGAACTGGTCGCTCAAGACAGTTCATTTTAGCCATAGCCTGAAGAAAAATGAAATATTTGAGAAATGCCCGTTTGTGGCTAGAAAATGATTTGTGCATGGTACAACCAAAGGATGGCAGATGATATACTATCATGAGGGAATATGACGCCAACTAGACTGAACAGCAGGAAAGGTAGTATGTCCGAGCAAGCTAGGCAGTTGTTCAAGCCTCCCACCCTGTCCAATATCCCAGATACAGAAAAGGCAGCACAATGCAGCGGTCACCACAGATGGATGGCCAGGGCAGACCTGCCAGGAAACATCAATGCAGAGTCTTTCTCTAGCATCTAGACTAATTTTGTCACTCATTTCCAAGAGAGGCATTGGTGTGGTTACTAGGGGCCCGTAGGCTGTAGATTTTTTAAGTCTAGCTGGAGTTGGCACCCTTTAATTGCCTTTGTGCCCTCCATAATGGGGTTTGCTGGCCTTTCCCGCTGAGCTCAGATTTATGTTGGTGTTAATAAAAACAAGGAAGGGATTATCATTTTTCTGTGTGTGGCAGATATGTGATTATGCCAATCTGTTCTCCATTGGCTTTACCACGGTCTTGGGAAGCAGTGTCTGGCCACAATGTGTGCACACTCAGCTCTCAAACTTACTTCAAGGAGTGTCCTTCATGTTTCTTGATTCTGACTCAAAGAGTCAAAAAATCACATCTACCAGTTATCCAGTGATACTGCTTTGCCCTGGCTTTAACAGCTGGGAACGGATGCCCTTTACTCCCGGGACAGCAACAAGGGGGTGAATCCATCTTGTTTCTGTGGGCACCAGGGCTGATTGGAACTCGAGGAAGGGAGGGCAACGTGGAAATGGTCCACTGTTCAGGTATCTGCAATTCCTTTTTCATGAGTTCTATGCCGGGTGTAAGAGGAGGCCAACTGGCTTGAAAATGTGTGTCTTTGGTCCCAAGGAATATGAAATAAAAAAGAGCTATTGTAGTAAAAACAGTGGAAAACTTCCTATCCCACTGATGGTGGGTAGATATTGTACTTTCCATGTTCCAAGGGTAGCGTGTGTCATATCCTCATGTTCAGTTGCTCATGATGTCCTAATGTATGCACAGCTCTCCCTCCCTCCCCCTCTGCAAAACAAAGGGCAGAAGGAGGTTTGCCAGAGGTCACATCAGTAATGAACTCCAAAGTCTTGTTATCCACATTGGAAGACATCAGAGTGACAAAGCCATTCTGCATCAGGACCTAATCTTACCTCACACCACCATTAGCGGCCTGGGGACCCCCAAAGCACTTCCCCTAACCTCTCTTTAGTTTTCCCATTTAAAAAATGAGGACAAGCACAGTCTCTTGGCAGAGTTATCTTGATGTTAAACAAGTTACTTTGTGTAAAGAGCCTGGAATACGTTGCTTTGCTCAATAAACTGTGGTTTCCTTCATACCCAAGGTAGGAGAACCACAGGGATAATAAGATTTCCAGATGTCATTCCTGGGTCAGGGAGAAGGACCTCCTGATCACTGGAAGATAAACTGGGATCATGCGGCTACCCCCCAAGGAATGGGGTCTTTAAGTTGACCACCTCCTGAGACTTTCCCTCCCATTTAAGTTTGAACTTAAATAGAGAGACTGGATCGTCAGCACTTGCTTGTGCTTCTGGTCAGTGTTTATATGGTCCTCATGATCTTACAGCGACGTTCATGTTCGGGTGATTTATGAAACATTTTTTTGTTTGGTACACCAGCTGAGGCTCTGGGGGAATGCAGTGATTTATCGTCTAACAGGAGCACTGAAGGATTCTCTCGGCAAGCTGACATCTGGGACAGATTTGCTACTGTAGGTTACTGAAATCCGTTGAGCCTAGGAGTTTGTGGGGAGTTCCTGGTGCCTGATTCAGTTAAATGCAGATAATCCAGGGCCCTGTGTGTGTGTGTGTGTGTGTGTGTGTGTGTGTACACATGCACTCATGAGTGTTCATCTGGCCAGTGCAGAATCCAAGGTGTGTATACAAAAGCAGGAAGAGAGAAGGAGCTAAGTTCCTCCTTATATGCTTTCTTTTTTATTTTTAATTTCTTAAAGAGGTGCCATCTGGCTCATGTATGAGTGATATGCAAACGATTTACAAAGGTGAACTGTCTAATTTCCTGTGACATATGTAGAAAGCGAAAACAAACATTTCTGCACTAGAGTGCCAAGTCCTTTGTCCTCTCTTCTTAAGACTATGCCCAGGGGCGCCTGGGTGGTTCAGTTGTAAGCAACTGCCTTCGGCTCAGGTCATGATCTCAGGGTCCTGGGATCAAGCCCCGAATCAGGCTCCCTGAAGGGCAGGAAGCTTACTTTTCCCTCTCCCACTCCCACTCCCCCTGCTTGTGTTCCCTCTCTCACTGCCTCTCTGTCAAATAAATAAATAAAATCTTAAAAAACAAAAACAACAACAACAAAAAAATACACAAAAAACTATGCCCAGTGGCCAATACCTTTTCTTCCTGTGGGTTACCCCTCAACACTTCTGAGATTGCTTTTAAACTGGCAGGGACAATTGTGGATTTTTGGTACCATCATATCTTTGAGACCATCGCACAACACTAAGAAAGTAGAGGTCAAATCTGGAATCAAAGAAAGTTCTGAATGTGCTGAAGAGGGGGAGGTTAGGGTTTATTGGGCGGGAAGGATCAGAACAGAAGAACAGAATCGGAGGGGCCAGTGCTCTGATCCTTCTCACCCAGAGGACCAGGAGCATGCCTTCCTGCTCATCCTGTATGCTCTGTGCCTTGCACAGTGCCTAGCACTGTAGACGCCTGATAAAAATATGAATGAATGGGCAAAGTCAGAATGGGAGTTCAGATTTAGGCAAGACATAGATTAGGTCAGACCAAGAGGAGCCATACCATTCCATTTCGGTATGCCGAAATCCAGGCAGACACGTCTGGGGGACATAGGCAAGTCAGGCAGCTGATTACAAGTTCTGAGTTCTAAGCTGGAGATGCCAGATCAGGGTATCTAGAAACCCCTGGGGAGGATGACAACAGTTACCCCTTAGGATGTGGGAACGATTTACAATAAACTGATTTGACTGGTAGAATATTTGATTTTATGGATGTCATGGTGACTCCATAACAGTGGTGATAATTGTCGTCTCCTTGACCCGTGCTATCTGGGTTTGCTTCTCAGCTTCTATCATCCCTGGCTATGGACCTTGGGCAAGTTATTTATCCTTCCAGGGCCCCCAACTGTAAAATGGGACTACTAGTCACTATCATATGCCTTTACCATGAGGATTAAGAGTTAATAAATAATCAACCCCTTAAGATGATTAATGTTAAATAAATATTAATTACTCTTAACTGTAATTGGAGCTGAAATACAAATGTCTTCCCAATTGCAAAATGGGCATTTGAATAAGGTTTACCTAAGTGCATTAGGTAAGGTAGGCCAACTGCTATAATAAGTAGATGCAAAAATATATATAATGGTTCCAACACAAATAGAAGCCTATTTCTAGGTCATAGAACAGTATGAGCAGGTGAACTTGTTAGAGAAATAACCCCTCCTCCATGTAGTCATTCTGGCTGATGTAGCTCTACCCTCTTCTTTGTGTGATGTCCTTGGTCAACCTAGGCCTCTGTCCCCATTCCACCACTGGGAGAGGAAATGGGCATGAAGGAATGCATGTGGTTAATGGGCCCGACCTGAAAATGGGTCCTGTCACTTCTCATGGCAAGAACCCAAACACATGCATGGTCTCAGCATTTGTAAAGGAGCCTGAGAAGTGGAGTGTAGCTGTGGCCTCAGGTAGAAGAGAAGAACAGGGGTTGTAGTGAGCAGCGG